GTGGTGCACAGACATACATGCAGGTCAAATATTCACTCACATACAATAAAATTAAATAAATACAACAAATATTTAAGAAAGGTCGTTCTCAAAAGAAGAAAAGTAAAAGAGCCAGGGATATAGCTCAAAGGCAGAGCCATCCTTTAGCGCTCTGGAGGCCGTAGGTCCTATTCCCAGCACAGCAAACAAAAACAGAAAACTCAAGAGAATGAATAGGTAAACCAAGAGCTCAGTAATATCACTGAACAGGGCTGGGTGTGGTGGCGCATGCCTTTAATCCCAGCACTCGGGAGGTGGAGGAAGGTGGATCTCTGTGAGCTCAAGGCCAGCCTGGTCTACAGAGTGAGTTCCAGGAAAGGCTCAAAAGCTACACAGAGAAACCCTGTCTCCAAAAACCAAAACAAAAAAAGATTACTGGATAGAAAATCAATTACATTCCTTCACAAACAAATGAAATAGTTACATTGTTTACAGTTAAAGTTGATAATGGGTTGGCGCTGGGGTGCAGCTCAGCCGATAGAGCTCTTCCCGGGCATTCACAAGGCCCTGGCTTTGATCTACAGCATTGCAAGACAAAAAGTGGAAAGAAAACTGACTGCACGTTGATAGGCATGGTCCCTCTGTACAGGACCCACCTGAGCGCTGGCACCTCCTACATTGCTGTGTGTGTGTGTGTGGGTGGGTGGGTGTGTGCGCGTGCATGCGCGCGCAGGTGCACATGTGTATACAGGTACCCAAAAAAGCCAGAAGAGCATGAGATCCCATGCAGCTGGAGTGACAGGTGGATGTGAGCAGCGAATGTGGTACTCAGAACCAAATTCAGGTTCTTTGGAAGCATAGCAAGTGCTCATAATTTGTTGATCCATTTCTCTAATATATATATAAAGTCTCACTACAACTTAGGTCTCCATTATTAGGTTAAGCTGGCTGACCAGCAAGGCCTAGAGATCTCCCTTTCCATGCCTGCTCAGCACTGGGATCAGAACATGAGTCACCACACGCAGCTTTTTATGTGGGTCCTGGGGAGGGAACTCAGGTCCTCTTGCTCACACTACAAGTACGTCACTTGGAATGAAATAGGACAGCAGTTCTCAACCTGTGGGTTGTGACCCCTTGGGGTAGCACATCAGATCTCCTGTATATCAGATATTTATAGTACGATTCATAACAGTAGCAAAATTAGTTATAAAGTAGCAATGAAATAATTTTATGGTTGGGGGGTCACCACAACATGAAGAACTCTATTAAAGGGTCACAGCATTAGGAAGGCTGAGAACCTCTGAAACAGAGGTTCATCTCATCACCTTCTATCAGGAAAGGCAGAGTTTAATACTCATTGTATTCTCATTGATGAATATATAATTAGCAGCTGAGCTACATGCATGCTCTGAGTTAATGAACACCACCCGGAGAACACAAAGCCGGTTTGCCAGACAGCTCAGAGGGTACAGAGAGCTGGTAACCAAGGTATCTTTCCCAGACTGTGTGTGGGAGGGCTCCGGGAAGCCTCCCTGAAGATGTAACAACGGACATTAATTTGGAGGCATAACTAGGCAAAATGAGAGCAAGAAAGCATTCCAGAGGCACTAGGGGAAGTATGACAGACCTGAGGACTTAGACAAGGTCATGGAATTAGTGTCAATGCAAAAACACAGGTCTCAAGCTCAAAGACAGTAAGAGGTAGTTTATTCTGGTTCCAAATTCTAGTGACTATGCATTTAGGTTACCCCAAGTTCCACTATTCCAAGGTGAAAGCATGGTGTTTTTATGACAATAGAACAAAGTAAGTTATAAATCAAGGCATTTTTTTTAATGCATTTTATTTCACTTTTGAGACAGGGTATTACTACTTAGCCTTGGCTGGCCTGGAATTTGCTGTGTAGACAAAGTTGGCCTCAAACTCACAGGGACCTGTAGGCCTCTGCATCCAGATTAAAGGTGTGTATTACCACATCCTTCCCTTCAAGACATTTTAAGAATACACTAGAGAGACGGCTCAGTGGTTAAGAGCACTTCTTACTTGCAGAGGACCTGGGTTTGACTTCCAGAACCCACACGGTGGCTTATAATCATTCCTAACTCCAGTTCCAGGGGCTCTGGTGTCTTCTGATTTCTGTGGGCATCAGACATGCATGTGGTGCACATACATGCAGGCAAAACACACAAATAAAGTAAATCTTAAGTAAAATAAAAATACATTGGTAGGAATACCAGAAAGGTGTGTTAGCCATGTAAGGGAGTCTCAACTATAGGTCTCCAATGGCATCTATTAGCATTTTTAGCTCTTTGATGGGTGGAGAACTGGGTTTTGTTAAATACATCCCACAAGTTTAATACATTCCTCCTGTAGTTTGGATGGTAGGTGGGCAAGGAATGGCTCTTTGTGGGGGCTAAATACAGCCTAAGAGAAATTGTAGTTAGCTTTTTGTTGTTGTTGTTTGTTTTGTTTTTTTGAGACAGGGTTTCTCTGTGTAGCTTTGGAGCCTGTCCTGGAACTCGCTCTGTAGACCAGGCTGGCCTTGAACTCATAGAAATCCACCTGGCTCTGCCTCCTGAGTGCTGGTGTTAAAGGCGTGCGCCACCACCGCCAGGCTGTAGTTAGCTTCTGAGCTCCAATATTCCAATGACTCCAGTCATTGAAGTTTTAATTAGCTTTCATGGACACAGCTTCTTTTCAAGGATTCTCCTCACAGAAGGCAGAGCGTAACGGGGCAGAGTGGCATGGCACAAAAGGTTAGGCACGGGTGTGCTAGTCACTGAGGCACAGCAGTTACCAGGTTTGCATTTTGGAAAAATTTCTCTAGCTACCATAAGAACGGATTCACATGGACAGAATGACACCCCCCCACCCCCCCCACCCCCCCCACCCAGGGCTCAAGGAACTATTCAGAAAAGCAGGCAGAAAGACTGTAAGGGCCAGAGGGGACTGAAAACTCCAAGGCAATGGCTTCTTCCTGACACACACAGGAACTCACAGAGGCTGAGCCTCATGCACAGGGCCTGCACAGGTTCCAGCCAGACTGGGTTCCATCACTGAGAAGTGGGAGAGGACATGGGCTCCAATCCCTAAGTAAGAAGCTATCTCCAACTGACAACTTGCAAAGGAAAAATTAGTTTTCCCAAATGGAGTCTCACTGGGTATATTAACCACACTTAGGGGTGGGCCCCATGCCAACCCAAAACTAACTCAATGATATTTATGTGGATTTTTTTGTTTCATATTGCTTTGTTTGGTCATTTTTTGTCTTAATGGTCTTTTGTTTGCATATTATGGTTTCCAATTTTGTGATTTTATGGGTGTTGTGTGTGTGTGTGTGTGCTTCTGAAGCTTCTTTTCTTTTTTATTCTGGTGTGTTTGTTTTGTTTGCCTGTTTGTTTTCTTTCTTTCTTTTTTTTTTTTCAAGACAGGGTTTCTCTGTGCAGCTCTGGCTGTCCTGGAACTGCCCTGTCTCTGTAGGCTACTTGCCTCTGTCTCCTGAGCCCACCACTACCAGCCTGTTTGTTTTCTAGAGAAAGAAAGGGCGTGGAGTTGGATGGGTGGAGGATCTGGGAAGATTTTGGGGAAAGGAAACCATTATCAGAATATATTGCATAAAAATTTATTTTCAATAAACATATATTAAAATAAACAAAGACTAGAGGGGTTGGGCAAAGAGACTATTTGGAAGATAATTGCAATTCCCTACATAAATGTGGTGGACTAAGGTGGTGATAATGAAATAGCTGATATATAAATCTATATATGATATATATCATCTATATCTCAACATATATGTGTATATATTAAGACAGTCTAAGTCACTCAGGAGGTAGAGGCAGGTGGATCTCTGTAAGTCCCGTCTGGTCTACAGAGCGAGTTCCAGGACAGCCAGGAGAAACCTTGCCTCAGGGAAGAAAAAAAATAGTTTTTTTAATTCAGGGTCTCATTATTTAATCCTGGCTGGCCTAATACTCGCTTTTTAGCGAGTATACTTCCAATCTGACTTGATGACCTAGGAACTCAGAGATCCGCCTGCCTCTGCACACACCACTTTATATGGCTAAACAGCTGAATTCTAAAAAAAAAAAAAAAATGCTTAAAGGCAAAGTCTGTAGGCATAAAAAGAAATGGGGTATGGAAGGCGCAGTCCAGAAGCAGTTAACGAATAACGCCTATTTATGTTCCTATACACGAATAACTTGTGTATCGGCGTCCTTTAAACTTCAAACTGTTGTCTATGCAGGGCGCGTGCAATCCTAGCACAGGGGAGGCTGAGGCAGGAGGCTGCGAGTTTGAGACCCGTCTGGGATAGAGTGAGATTTTGTGAGTGTGTGCGGTTGGGGGTGAGACACTGTCTGCTTCCCAATCTCCATCCAGCAGCCTCACACCTGCATGCCAATGAGCAGCAGGGGAGCCCTCAGGTTAGGGAGAGGCGACCTGGAGGTGCGGAGACCCCCAGGCATAAGGGGAGCCCTTCAATGATGCTCCACCGGGCTCCGGCCACACTGCGCCTACCCACACCCCCCAAGCTGTGGGGTCCGGGTGGACAAACGATCCCTTGGCCCCTCGTTCCCGTGGGGCTCAGCACAGTCACCTCCGGCCCTCTCGCCCACTGGGGCAGCTCCTCATCTCCCGCAAAAGCCGCGCCCATGCTCCCTGGAACAGTCCCGGGCCTGCACGACTGCGTTCCCAGGGTGGTCCAGGGCCCTCGAGGGCCAGCCCTTCCCACAATCCCGCGGTCCTCCTTGGGTGCCGGCCCTCGCCTGGCTCCGGATCTCGCGAGAGGACGAGAATGCCCGTTGCAGCCCAGCTTCGGCTTCCCGGGCCTCGGAACCGCATCCTCCCTGGCTTTCCTCCAATCCTGCCGCTCGCGCTCCGCTCTCGGATTGGCCGAGGGAGCTGGTCAGTTTTTTTCCCAGCCAGAGAGCAGGGCGACAACTTCTCCGTCCCCGGCCCCGCCCCCGGCCCCTGCGGATTGGACGGCCGGGCGTGACGTCACGCGGCTCCGCGTCAGCGGGGACTAGCCAATCACAAGCTTGGCGTATTTTACAAACCGGGGAAGCAGCGGCGGCCGCAGCAGCAGCAGCAGCAGCAGAAACCCAGAAAATCGGCGAAAAAGCTGAGAAAGTGGAGGTGACCCCCGAGGGGCTCTTGGAGAGGTGCGGCACGGGATGGTAGAGGGGACGAGTCCCGTCGAGGTTCTCAGGGAGGACAGCAGTTTGGAGTCCTGGGGCGATCGCAGGCTGGGGGTGTCTGGAGGAGGCAGCCCCCAAGAGCGGCCTTGCTGCCGGTGCGGGCCTCCAGGCACATGGATTGGGACCAAGGTGGGAGAACCAGGGATAGCAGCCCCCACGCCTTGCTTTGGTCCTCAGTCCTGTCTGCCGTCTCCCGTCTCCATTACAGCCGCCATGACTACCCTCCACCCTAGGAAGGATCCCCTCCTCCGAGGTGTATCCCCCACCCCTAGCAAGATTCCAGTACTCTCTCAAAGATGCCCGGATTTTTCATCAGTCAAGTCGTGCTCTCTGGACCAGGAGAACCAAGATCCAAGGGTAAGAGGGGCTTGATGGGTGAAGGGAGTAATAACATGGAGGCAGCTCCCGTTAGCAATGCACCCCAGTGCTGAATCCCAGCTTCTTGTTTCCCCTCAGAGACTGGCTCAGAAGCCACCGCTCAGTACTCAACGTCCGCTCATCGACTCGGCAGGCCTCAGACCGAAAACCTCGCACCAGACAGAGAAATCACAAAGATTGGGGCGGACCACCCAACTCCGGAACCCTTTGGAAGAACTCAAGCCTAGCTCTGGGGAACCAAATGTGGGGCTTGTGCCTCACCCCCAGACAGGTACCTGTTGGCGGCCTGGGAATAGCCGACTTGGTTGAGTGAGAATGGGAAAGGCAGCGTGGGATTTTGGGGGGTTTGCACACCCTCTGGTTTCTTGCATACTGTAAGAGTCCTAGGCCCTGCCCTGAAAGCTCTTTGCTCTAAGAAGCCATCCCGTTACTTCAGCAAAATGTCATCTCTTGCCTGTCATGGTGGCATATGCCTTTAATCCCAGCACTTTAGGAGGCGGATGCAGGTGGTCTCCGTGAATTCCAGGCCAGCCTGGTCTACATAGTGAGTTTCAGGCCAGCTAGGGCTACACAGTGAAGCCTTTTCAGCAACCCAGTCACAGTCATTTGCTCAGTGTTGTGCTGATTCTTTATAATCTGTCCATATTTCAGCTTGAACGCCTTCCTTTTCAATAGCAGGTATGTTTTTAAAAGATTTATTTTCATTTTCTGTGAGTCAATGTGAGTGCAGCATCCGTGGAGATCAGAAGAGGGCATTAGATACCCTAGAGCTGAAGTTCTAGCCAGCTGTGATCTACCGTGTGGGTGCCAAAAACAGAACCCACGTCTCCCAGAAGAGCAGCCAGTACTCTTAACTGCTGAGCCACCTCTCCAGCCCCTAAAACAGGATTATTTTGAATTATGTATATGTGTGTGAGTATGTGTGAGAACAGGTGCCTGCAGAGGCTGGAGGCATTGGATTGCCCTGGAACTGGAGTTACAGGCCACCTGACGTAGGTGTTGGGAACCTATGCAAGAAGGGTGTGTGTGTGTGTGTGTGTGCTCCTAATCACAAGGCCATCTATCTCTCCAGCCCCCAGTGATATCTTCTATAAGACAAAAACTTGGTTCATCTTTTGCTCCAATGGTTAGAGTAATAGATTACATGAAATTCTTCAGACATTTGATGAGCTAGGTTCAATCGAAAGATCTCCTCCCCATCTCTCCCTCTCCCATCTCTCAAGGTCTTACATAGCCCAGGCTGGCTTTGAGCTCTGTGTGCTGGGGAGGCTGGCCTTGAACACCTGGTTCTCCTGCCTTGGTTCCCTAGATTCTGGAATTACAGGTGTGCGCCATGAGGCCTGGCTTGGATATGTTTTGCTCAGGGTTGCTAGGGTCCCCTGCCCCTCAGCCTCCCCTGCTCCTGTTCCTTCTAACCCTGTCTCTTCCCTTTCAGAGGCTACAGGGGCTATAGATTTTGTCGCTGACCCTGCAGCCCTGGCCACCATCCTGTCAGGTGAGGGGGTGAAGAGCTGTCCCCTGGGGCGCCAGTCCAGTCTGGCTCAGAGAGTACTAGTTCGAGGGAGCAAGGGAGGCACCACCCGGAGGGGCCAGGTAATGAGAAGGATGTGAGGCCAGGCTGGGGTGGACTTCGGTGGGGGATTCTGAGCTCTTGCTGATGGCCTCTCTTGGCACCCCAGATTGCTCGGTCTTCAGCATACCTGGCCCCCAGGACCCCCATCCATCAGCCAGATCCTGCCAGGGCCTCCTGCTTCTCAAGACTGGAGGGATCAGGACCCCGAGGCCGCACTTTGTGCCCACAGAGATTAGAGGCTCTGGTGAGTACCCTTGCGGGGCTGACACTTAGTCTTTCTAGAAACTTCTTCCTGGGACAGTACCTCAAGATGAAAATGGGTTCTGTGGGAGAGGTGGGATGGGGTTCGTGTCTAGTTCGATGCCCACTTTTCACTCTGCTTTCCTGTCTTGCTCTGGATCAGAATCCACCTTCAGGATCTTCCTTTCATTCCTCAACTCGCCCCAGTTTACAGGAACTAAGAAGAGAGACATGTGGTAACAGCAGGTAAGGAGAGGGTCTAGATTCCCTTTCAGCCCAGGAGGGGATGTGCAAGACATGTCAGGTCAGGCCCTGGAACAGGGGTCAGGCTTTCATAGCCAGGCCTTAATACGAAGGCACAGAGGGATAGGCATGTGAGATGCTGTTTCTTTTGGCTACAGCATGAACTGACAATAAATGGGTTTGAGTTGAACTCCTGACCCTTACCATGGCTAGTCGTCCAAGCTTGTCTGGGTATCCGAGTTCTGTAACGGCCGAGCCAGGGTGACATTGGTACCCCTAGAGGCTGTTGTGAGGATGCAGTGAGATGGTGTTTGTAAAGCACTTAGCCAAGGCCCAGCCTTGCTTGACTCTCAGGGATGGCTGTTGTACTTACCGTCAGCAGGACTTCAGCAAGCCAGCCCTCCAGACCGCTCCCGAAGACCCCCGTCCAGCCTGGTGAGTGTGTCTGGATCTAGAACAAAAAGGCAAGGGTGAGCCACTGGCTGCCCCAGCCACGAGACAATAAAAAGGTCGGCAGGCCTTAGGGAGCGAAAGCAGGGTGAGGCAGTGGAGAGGCGGGGAGACTGGGTCAGAGGAGGTGGGGGTTAGTGGTGGAGCGCTTGCCTGGCTGTCACACCCCAGAAACACACGCTCATGCACACAGAACAGGGGCCGAGACCGCCTGCATAGGTCAGAGGCGGGCCTAGCTGCCCCTGTCTCCGTTCCTGCCCTGTCCCTGCAAAGCGGAATTCCCGGTGTGTTCTGTCCCAGTCCCTTAGGAGCCATGGTCACTTCCAGCAACTCAGGGCATTTGGATTGATTGGTGTTTGCCAGGATATTGCTGGGCTCTGAGAGGGTGCTGAGTGGGTAGACTTTGATGTTCCAAACGCTACAGCAGATGTCCCGTCTCCTCCTCCTTTACCCCTCACAGCAGAACCTGAGGCTGCCCCTCGTTCCAGTGAAGGAGGAAGAGCCCTACTGGGTCTGGCCCAACGGGTGCCATTAAGAGAGACTGGAGAAAGGACGCACACCAGGGTGCGATGGGACCCTCCCGGGGTGGGGCTGGGCGTTCAGGAGATGCCCTGGACCGTGGGTAGAGTGGGCAGACCCGGGACTCAGGATGTTATCAGGTCTTCGTTTGCTGGGGTTGGGGCCTGGGGAGAGAGGTGACAGCCTGGCATGCATGTGTCACCATGGAGTCAATGCTGAGGCCTAGACACGTCCAGTTCTTACCAATCAAAAATATTAATTCCTGCCAGGTGGCGCACGCCCTTAATCCCAGCACTCGGGTGGCCGAGGCAGGCAGATCTCTGTGAGTTCGAGGCCAGCCTGGTCTATAGAGTGAGTTCCAGGAAAGCCAGGGCTACACAGAGAAACCTGTCTCGAAAAAACCCACAAAAGCAATTTCCTTCAATTATTTACTAACTGGCTTTTGAAGCAGCCATGGTTCTAGGTTCAGAATATACATATTCTGAAGAGGGAAGCAAAAAAATAAATAAACACAAATATAAAATATATAGGATGTCAGGAGGTGGTACCTCTCTCTAAAATTAAACACTTCAGTCACTGGAAGGATTTGGGAGGAGGAATTGGTGTCATAAATTGGTAGTTTAGAGCCGTACATGGTGGTACATGACTGTAACCCAGCTCTCTGGAGCCAGGAGCATTGCAAGTGAGAGGCCAGCCTGGGCTGCTCCACAGGGAATTCCAGGACAGCCTGGGCTATGCAGCAAGACCCTGTCTTTAAACTAAAAGATGGTGCCGGGCGGTGGTGGCGCACCCCTTTAGTCCCAGCACTTGGGAGGCAGAGCCAGGCGGATCTCTGAATTTAAGGCCAGCCTGGTCTGCAGAGTGAGTTCCAGGACAGGCACCAAAGCTACACAGAGAAACCCTGTCTCGAAAAACAAAAAACAAGAAAACAAAACTAAAAGGTGGGTTTTAATAATAGATTAATATTTAGGACCGATAGCTTAGCTCACATTGGCCAACTTATAACTGCCTATGATTCCCATCTCAGGGGATCTACTGCCTTCTGGCTTTCATGGGCACCCAAATTTAAATACACATAAATTTTAAAAAAAAATATTTTTTTAATGTTTTTAAAAGGGATGCTAATCACTCTGTTTTTACAAAATGTATTTTGGCTAGGGCACGGTTGCTGAGAAGATGAGGTTTAAGTGAAGACCAGGAGTTGAGGACGTGAACCATACAGATAAAAAGGGGAGGCTATGGAGTTATTGAACCAAGAGGGCTGCAGATGCGAAGGCCCCGGGGAGAGGACGCATCTAGTGCTTGAGAGCTGGCCAAACAGGCCAGTGCAATGGGGGCCTAGGAAAGAGGGAGAGGTGATGAGTTACAGTGACCGCGGGTGAGAGCAGCTAAGGGACACACCAGTGTGACTCCTCGGCTCCTTCGTGGGCTGAATGGAAAGCCCAGGGGAGAGAGAGTGTGAATGGGGAGAGATACTTGGTTTCTCTTAAAAGCACTATGCAAGCACTGCAGGTGGTGGCACACACCTGTAATCCCAGCCTTGGGAGGTAGAGGCAGGAGGATCCCAAGGTCCAAGCCGGCCTCTTGGCTACTTGAGAATACACACACACATGCACACACACACACACACACACACACACACACACACACACACACACATTCTGCTGCTGTGGGGAGGGCAAGACATAGGAAGGTGAATTCAGAAAGGCCACTCTTTTGCCTCTCTCCGCCACGGGGCGACGGCGACACCCACGCAACCCCTTCTCCTGGCCATGTAGTGTCACCCTTTGTCACCAACCCCTCACCTTTAGACGGGCTCGCTCGAGGTGTTCTCTCCCCAGGCCTCTCAGCTGTGGTTTGTATCGACAACTAACTCTTGGGCTGGGCAGGAGCAGAAGAATCTGGCTAGAGAGCCCCGCTCACCCCCCACGTCTCTCCCCAGACCCCATATTCATCCTTGAAAAAGATCAACATTTGGTCAAAAACCCACTTCACACCGCTCCGATCATTACCCAGAGTTCAGCAGCACGTAAGAGAACAGAGGAGGCCACTGGTGTGGGCCAAGACGAGGGAGGGAGGGGGCAGGCGCTGGGGGGGTGGGGGTGTTAAGACGAGGGAGGGAGGGGGCAGGCGCTGGGGGGGG